ATGCCTCAACCCCACACCTTCTCCATCCAACAATCTACTCTAAGTGCTACAAATTTACTAACAAGCTATAGCAAATGAATGCTACAACCTTTTTCCAACACTTTAATGGGCAAACTTAAGGAACCAAAGTACTAACATAAGCTTAGCATATTTTAGATCATTATAGAGAATTTAGTCAAAGCTACTTCAATGCTACTATGTATAAATAGACTAGCTTCACTATCAACCACTTTGAGGTTGATTATCATTTAACTAAGCAACTTCGTAAACACATTGCTCATTATCACATGGATATGGTATAAGTATCACAATGACTTGATCATTAATCGAGCAATACAATAAGCAAGACCCATGTCATTACTTCAAAGGTTTATGTGAACATCAAGTGCCAACTCAATTCGATAAAATGCAACATAAATGCCACACTCCACCAATAGAGATTTACAACACCCAACACTATTAACTTTTTTTCACAACATGAACAAGCTCATTCCACCTTTTTTCTAACCAAACACAAAACTAATCCAACACCAAGCTACTCAAGGAGCAATAACAAGGTTTCCTAGAAAAAAATTGAGCATTGTAACCCAAGTTTTCTAATAGCAAGCCTAGACTTTTAGTGTTTAATTGGCACTTTGTCTCCTTCATGCTACCATATGCACATCTCATTTGTCTTTGCCTTATGCTCCTCTTTAATTGGTGCATATATTCATTCATAACAAAGTAGCTTGAACTTGTGATGAAAGTTAGACTTGATGCATTGGCAATATTCGTTGATACTCTTTGCCCAATAAAACTCACAACTTTTCTCTCTACTTTGTAATGATTGACTTTTATTACCTTCAAATACTTGTCGTATAACCAACCAATTAACATCAGCAACATCTGCCATGAAAATGTGGAAGTTGGGTTTCTTCCCAGTTAGACCACCAGTGCGGCAAAGGTGATTGGGCATGGCCTTAACATAATGGGCTGACCTTTCAAGTGCTCTACGTGATCCAAGTGCTCTATCTGGTGGTATTTGGATCAAGTGCAAAGGTTGAGTGGCAGGGATGCCATTCTTGGGGCTAGCTAGCCCCAAGTCTAGAATATGATTTATAGGGGTTGTGAGTGAAACTCCTCCAAATGGTTGGAAGTGTGGTTAAGTGACTAAAGTAAAATGAAAAATTTTGTCGCTTACACTCCTGACTTGTACATCTATCAAAGTCCCACTGAATCCTATTCTCTCCCACACCATTGTCAAGAAAAATGGATTTTTTTATCTAATTACCCTTTTCACAACATACATTCTCCAAACTAATTGATCCCGGCTTTAGCTTGAATCTTCTGCAGGGGAAGCTCTCTCCTATAACACTCTTAGAGAAAACAATTGAAGGCTCTTGATCGAACTTCAAGTAAAATTCTCTCATATCTTCTTCTTGCTCGAGCATTTAGAAAAAATTTAGGGAGAAATTAACAAGAAAAAATAAAAATATTCTTTTGTATTGTGAGTTTTAATTAGTTACGTCATTGCAAAGGACAAGTGAATTATTTTAACAAAGTATACAACCGTTTAGAATCTAGAGATATATAAGAATCTTAAAGAGCCACCTATATTAATTGTATAATTGATTGTAAGAGGAATAATACTGTTGAAATGAATGGGGTTATGAGTGAGAGGAGTTGATTAATCATAAGAGTTGTAATATTGACTGCTTATTCTCCCTCTCATCTCCATGCTCTTTTCCCTTCAAAAGAGTTTCATTCTTTTGTGACAAGTGAATGAGAGTCATAACTCGAAAAAGTTGGTTTGTTTGTGGTTTTTTCGCATGCGATCTTTGAAGGGAAAAGAGCATGGAGATGAGAGGGAGAATAAGCAATCAATGCTACAACTCTTGTGATTAATTGGCTCCTCTCACTCATAACCCCATTCATTTCAACAGTATTATTCTTCTTATAATCAATTACACATATCTTAATATCTAAAGCATTGAATGATTGTCTCATTGGAAAGAGCACGTGAAATTTATGTTCATAGTGGATTTGTCCAAAAAATATATCCTACCATTTGCAAAATTAAAGTACTATTAAAAACTTGATATATCACTAGAATCTAGAAAGCAATTGCCATTAAAGAGAATAAAAATCATGACCATTGATCATGACTGTTGATTGTGACCATTAATCGTGACTGTTAATTTTTAGGGTTTTACTGCTAGGGAAAAACACTTGAATCTTGCAATGTGTTTCAAGATACTTCTCAATCAAGACGCTAGATGCTCTTCAAGACACTAGAAAGACACTCCTCAATCAAAGTATGCCTCTCTTTGTTACTTTTCCATCTCCCCATCTCTTGCTCTTAGCTCGCAAGCAACTTGCATCTCACGCACTGGAATGATTGGTTCGGCAGTAAACCAATCTTCCCAACATATCAGATTCTGGGTTTATTTTTTCTTGTCGTTGCTTTGGTGCTGTAAGATCAGTTCGGCAACCAACCAATCTTCCTAGTGCCAAGGGAATTGCTTCTTTTTTTCTTTTCTTGGTTCCCTCAGTGCTAGAAGATTGGTTCGCCACTGAACCGATCTTCTTAGTGCTAAGGGAGCTATTCCTATTCCTTTCCTTTTTTCTTTAGTTTCCTTAGTGCTGGAAGATTGGTTCGCCGCCAAATCGACCTTCCCAATGCTAAGGGAGTTACTCCTTTTCTTTTTTCTTTTGTTCCCTTGGCATTGGAAGATTGGTTCAGCAGCAAACCAATCTTCCTAGCACCAAGGAAATTGCTAATATTTTTCTTCAAAACATTTTTTTAATGTTAAATCAAGCTTTTTTGTCATTTTTATGCAGACATATAAATCATGCCACAATAGAAGAAGCATGCCGATCAACCTCAATGGACCCGTTCTCTAGGAAACAAATAGATCATTGTGCTAGATTCACTAGGGACACCTCACAAATTCAAGGTGTTGCTTCAAAGGAAGACCATAGTGGGAGCAATGGTGTCCAAATCCAAGCAATGGTTTATCCTGATCCAGGTGTCAGCATGCAAGAGCCAGATGGTTCTAGAGAGCACAGAAATGCAGAACCTATTTATAGCACAAGAGAAGCTGTTGGTGGTGGTGGAAATGAGGCATTTAGTACCATAGGTGGTGGTGGCAAAAATGAGGCACTTGGTGTTATAGGTGGTGGGGTAGATCTTGGTGGCAGAAATGGTAGGCATGTTGCTGTTTCTAAAGGTCACAGAAATGAGGTGGTAACTATGCTAAAGGTCGACACGATCTTGAATGAGCAAGTACACGAGACTATTGTCCAGGCTCAAGAATGAACTATCAGTGTTAGGTGAAATGGCTTGGAAAGGATCCCAACATCTTCAAATTCCACTTTGTCATCCTAAGCAGAGTCACTAGGTGCACTCAGCTTATGTCTTCAACATAGCTATTTATACCTTTTTCACAAAGGTTGGATTCGGGCACACTGTTGGATCATTTATTTTATCGTCATCATTCCCCAGAATAAATCGCATAGATATGGTTACTCACGAGATCGAGCAAACTTGGGATCAGATATGGCAAAGAAAATCTTAAGAGTTTGATACTTTGATGGTGTGCCATAAGGAGACATAAGCCTTTGTAAGTTAAATGTTCTTCATTATTAATGGAAACCACTGGTGGTTAGCATTTTGAAAGTGTATCCAAGAGAAGTTCCAAGACAATGACAAATGACATATTTGTGTTCCAATGACACTTTTGGAGCAAAGGATTGAAACTAAATTGTAAGGCTCAACTTGGCATGTCACAAAATCAACATGTAATAATCCCTTATTAGTAACTTTTGTTCTCACCAACTATGTTACAAATTTAATCAGTTTGCTTTCCAAACACATACCTTAGTCCATGATATCGAGCACGTTCAATATGTTGGCATGCTTTCTCTCAAGGTAATCCAGATGCTATATAGTCATGAGATTATGGAAGCAAGCCTGTAGCACGTAAAGGCTAAAAGTTGCTTATTTGGTATTAGGTTATGGATATTTTGGTTACGGTCTGGGCAAAAGTATCTTTTTCTTGCATGAACTTATATTTTCTACTGTTCTATCTCTAGCAATTCACCAAGAATTCAATCGACACGCCCAATAATGTGCACACAACAGAAAAAAACCCAAAAAAATAAAATCCCATTAAATTAAAATATTTGTTGGTGACCAGCTTAAAATCATTCAAGTGGACTTTAGTTTTGTGGGTGTGAAGGCAAGAATTTTTAAAAACTTTGGAGGCGGCTGCACTCTTATCAAAGCATATGGTAAAAGCATATTAGAAATAAACTTTGCTGAGCTACATTATTGGAGGAGGTGGCGAAGCTCTTGAACGTTTTGGTGGTCGAGTTTCAGAAAAATTCTGGTTCCGATCCTCCAACACTTTTTTTACCAAGTGAATTAGTGAACAGCTTACGGCAGGTCAGGTAAGATTTGACTTCTAAGTTGTAATGATCATACTCTTCCAGCAGAAGCAATGGTGGGAATTAAAGCTAAACACATGGACAAAGTCTTGCAGTTTGTACATGCATTTCTTGCAAAAGTGAACAATGGACGCCCATATTGGAGCCCAAGATCTATAGATCTTCAGTACATGAAGGTTTGACTTCAGGTTGGACACAGTTATTTCCTTTCTTGCAACAAGCAGCAATCATTGACCGCATTGTGGCTTTCCGGAAAAGAACTACTCCGAAAATGTCGTACTTGTTACAAAATGCCGCGTCCTCGCAGAAAATAGACTATGAGAGTTTCATTTTGAAGAATGTCAAGCATAGGCAGAATCACCTGCATAGTCTGAATTAAACCGATCTAGCTGCCGCAAGGTTACAAGCGGGAAAGCTCTTCGAGGTGAACATGTAACCCTGGATTCGCAGCGCTTGTGCTGAGAATCTCTACGTGGAAATTCCCCATTCCAGCAGTTCTAAAAGCTTAGAAAGTTTGACTGTGGTTTCGTTGGTTTTCTCATACAATCATTTATTGTTTGTGATTCGTGGTTTTAGGGTTTGGAAATGGAGGAGAGTTTGTTCGACGACGAGGAGCGTCCCATCAAGAGAAAGGTACGTTTCCATCCGGCAGGAGAAGAGAGAGTGAAGAGGCAGCAGCTGGAAGGTGCTGAGTTCTTTCTGGTCCCTGATGAGATTACCAACGCGAGCAGATTGTGGCAATGGATCAAACAGATCAATCCGAATGTTCGGGCCCGTCTTACTCCCCAGGGTTGGATGGCGATGGTGGGCAGCAGTGTGAGAGATGGGCCTCTTCCGCATGAATTCGACTTGCACTTCCGCGAGGCTCTGTCCGCCAGGGTTGAATGGATGGAGGATCTAGTCTCCCGGATAGATAACTGGAGCGATGCTATTTTGACGCCAGACAATGTTATCACGCCCCTGCCCTGGCCGTTTGTGCCCGTGGATGATTCTACTGCTGCTGCTAGTGACTTCAAGTTGCGCGTCTTGGACTTGGGTGACAACGACACGCTCCAGTCTATCTGGGGTAAAGAGAGCGCGGTGAAGATCCTGGAAAGGGAATGCTACAAAGAGCTTTGGGAGGTTGGAGTGAAACCGTTGTTTGAGCAGAATCGCAGGGTGGCCATCTTGGTTCTGGGAAACCCAGGCATTGGAAAGACCGGTTTCTTGCTCCACGTGCTCGTCATCTTGCTCAAAGAGAAGAGGAAAGTCTTGTTGCGAACAAAAGGTGGTTCTCTTTACTACTTCAATCCAGATGCGGCTGGGAACTACCATACCTCCATGGTTGGGAGTTATAGCGAGGCGAGGCTGGACAGGGATCGAGACCTTGTCTTTCTGGCGGACGAAAAGCTACCGGACGTGCCCGTTTTTCTTGGAAAGGCGCTTCTTGCGTCTACACCTCTCCGGAGCAACTACAAGGACTACGAGAACGATGCTGCGTGCAGGAAGTTTTTTCTACCGGTCTGGCCTAGCAGGGAGCTTTCACTTCTGAGGCAAGTAGTATTTCCGGACAAGGATCTGCAGGCTACGAATGAGAGATACAAACAATGGGGTGGAATCCCGAGATATGTCTTGGAGATCACCTCGGATGATTTGGTAGGCATCATTCAGAGAATGCCAGCCTTGGCAGACGTTGTGACAGCCACGTCTTCTGGTGCTGTCGAGTCGGATCATCCAAGTCATAAAGCTCTCTATCTACGAGTCCGTGACAATTATAAGAGCTACGACTTGCAGTATGCTTCTCCTTTTGTGAGGAGGACCGTGTATGAGAAGCTTCACAGGGATCAAGTCAACACGCTCAGAGCCTTCGTATCTTTCAGGGGAACTGCACTGGAGGGATTCGCTGCTTTGAAAGGAGGCATTTTACAAGAACACTTCAGAAATATCTCGCAGAACGCCAAGCTCTTCAGAGTGTGTGAGGTCTTTGAAGACGTGGCTACTAAGTCGACAGGACCTTTAATGCAGGAATTTGCTTTCGGCAAGCCTGTTACAGTTTGGAGCGTTGATGACTTGACTTCACCGTACGTCTACGACTCTATAGTATGGCCGGAGAACCCCATCGAGGACACCTTAGACGCTCTGCTCCTAACCAAGAACGCTGCAAAACAAGATGTTTTGCAGCTCTTTCAAGTGACAGTGACCTCTGGAAGACATGCCCACGGGCTTAAATACAATGGACTCTTGAGAGTGATGGACAACTTTAAGGTTCCTCCAGCCCGAGTTGACGTTTACATAGTTACTACGAACGATCTCTTTGCAGATGCAGGCTGGCAGAATTGGAGGATCAAGAACAACAATGTTTTGGCTGACAAGAAAATCAAGCAGCGGCTCATCGGTATTCGGCAGTTTGCATTGGATTCTAACGCGTAGGCTAAGTGCTCTAAGTCCTTCCCAATTCTGGTTTGATTTTTCGACAATTTATTGTATGAATAACGATAAAATGTATTCTGTAGGTTGAAATATGTGTGGTGGGTTCTGGTATGAACGGCGATACAGATCCATCTTTTCTTCTAGCCTTAACAGAGAAACAGGATTGTGTCATTGGTCTTTATGTAACTGATACGTCAAGGGCGTTGTGTATGCTTGGTCAGCTACCTCTTGTTTATAATTGTTTTATCTGATTCCATCATCTATTCTCAGGTTCGGGACGACTGTACCAGGTGAAAACTGAGGACTATCTTAACCGAGTTACGGCCTGTTGAACTCGCATGGTTTTCTGGCGGATGCAACGGAGACAGCGCTGCGTGAAAACACAAAAAAACCTTCGTTCACTAAATTAACTCCATCTAAAGAGTTTTGGGATGCCGACCAAACGTTAAAGGAAATTGAATCGATCCTATAAGGAGGCACTGGACGCGTTATGCCAGATATGTTGCGGAATCTGATTAGCCAAGCGGAAGCAGTTATGTTTGCGTTTGGAGGCTGCATTTCCTACTTGAGACAAGTTTTAATCGATAAACAGGTTCTAGAGCTTGGGAGAACTGAACAGTTGCCCGGTTTGGATATCTCAAAGGAGACTTTCAGCAGTGAAGCTTGGTCAGAATCTCACATGGTGCTTGATAGTGCAGCCTTGGAAAATTTGGAGATACTTGAAAACAACTCAAATGATGGCACCTGAGGGTGAGTAGTTACAACTGGAAGCTCATAGGTTTAGTTTTGCGTGATTTCAGGACGCTCTTTATATTTGCGGCTGACATACCAAGAATAACCTTCAACATAGATTTTGTACCTGCAGTTGCAGTGTTCGAACTTCCAAAGTAAATATATGCACCAGTCTGTGCGTTGTTACACTTGAGTAGCTCGTTCCGAATGGTAACTTCCTTGTGAGGAAGTTCCTTTCCATTGTGACCAGCACGGAGTCTCCAACTAATGTTGTGAGGCCAACGAGCACTTGAGCACTTGCATGCTCAAGGAACTTAGCCGCGAGGCCTCCCAAGCACACCTAAGTAGGAAGCCAGGATCAGCAAGCATGACTTCCCCAGGAGTCTCAACTCTCACATTATGTACATACATGCGTCCCCCCTGGGTTCACGATAGCCCTTGGGTTAGCACGAGAGAGACCAATTTTCAGTGAGAGAGTAGAGCTCTCAGTATCTGTTAGGGAGAGTCAATCGGATTTTTGCGTAACACCGGCTGCCTCGAGACCCATGCGCGTGGACTTGGCAAGTGTAGTCCGTGGATCTAGCATGGTTTAGTCCTTGGATTGTGGACCTATTGTGGTCCCGTAAAGACTGGTGTTTATCGTTGAGTGATAGGGTGATGCCTAGAACTCCAGGCTAGGAGTTCTACAATAAACACCGAGTCCATAAACAAGTTGTGGAGCCGTAGGAATTGAAGCTAGTGCCTTGGATATGTCAGCCAAAAAAGTTGCGAGAAGGGATGATATCCCACACAAGTAAGAAGCTTCGGCTTTTGTGTTGGACCATACTCAGATTCTTTGGCTTGTAAATGATAAAAAAAAGAATTTATGGTCACACAAATTGAAACTAGTTGTTGCATCGACATCTGTGTAATGATACTCCATCTACAACAAAATCTGATTTGAACAGACTTGCAAAATAGCAATGCGGAGAAGATCCTTATTTGTCTACTTTTAGGACGACTGTCCTGCTTGTATAAACTCGTTTTAACTTAACTCTTTTTAAGGTTACGCAATATTATTTGCTCTGAGTGCTAAGGCGACTCAACCTCAAAGTTGGTTGGAGAAGTAAAGAAATTGAGCACCTCCATGTCGTAAAGCCTCAATAATTATGGTTTGCATTCTTCAAAAAGATACTTCAAGATGAAATGGACAAATGGTAGCATCTTCTGTAGAAATTGGCTCAAGATTTGAAATGACAACAACAAGTGGACTTGAAAGCATGGCCAAATTTCCAGTGAGTAGCATTGATTCTTTTTCTTTCCTTGGATTTCTAAAGTTCATCATAATGATAAATTGAATGTAAGCTCGTATAGACAAATGGGAACAATCTAGATGAGCATAATGTACAAGAACTAGAAAATGAGAATACTAGTTGTGTTTATTGGTGGTATTACTTTTGTAAAATGGTGTTCAGCCTGTTGTTTATGACTATTTGGTGTTTTATATGTTTCTGATTCCTTCCTCAAGACTAGTATAACAAATCCCACTCACATGCAGAACCAAGGTTAGTGATTACGTCAACTTAATGATGTAGGAGCAAAAGACATATGTGTTACTCAAGAAATCTCTACGGATTTGTCTATTCTCTCACTAATATTTTCTCTCACCAATAGAGAAAGACTGTTCTCTCACTGAAAAATAAGGTGTGTGCTAGCCCAAGGGCTATCGCGCACCAGGGGGGGCAGGGGTTGTGGTCACATGTATATGAAGTATATGTCCCGGAGGAGTACAAGGTGAGTTCTCTGTCCTTCCGCCTCCTACACCACCTAGTGGGTCTACGTAGGTACAAGGCTGAGTGCCTAAGCTACATAGTGGTTATGCTCACTCGTGGCTATGGCGTGAGGTCAAGTGCACTGCACTTGGTTCGTTAGGCATTTGTTGCCCCAGGCGAGTTTGGGAAACCGGGAAGGTCTGTATATGGTAGAGGAACCTTACGATCCTCAAACTACTTTAAGTACGCTGGGAGGTCAGCTCTCGGTGGTAAGCTAGCAGGAGATGTGCTAAGGCTTGAGGTCACTTGAGCGGGGAAGTCTTGGCTGTGCCCCTGAGCTTAGAGGGACCTTATCCACAACTCCCTTAACCCTATCCTCTCCTGGGGGGCACAAGGTACAACTCTAAGTGTCGGTTTGTGCCTTAAGATCGGGCATTCACTATGTTAATGAGTTTGGTCTTTATCACAGATATGGGAGATCAGGATCCTTTCATGTGTTCCTCTCTGGGCTGCACGACCATTTTGGGCGATACGAAAAAAAGGGGGGTTTTTAGGGAAAACCCCCCCCCCCCCCCCCCCCCCCCCCTCCCCCCCGCTGCGCGTCTCGAGGACATACAACCTGGGCCCAGAATGAGGTTATGGATTGGAATCCCATCAGTTACCATGATGCAAGGTAGTGGTGACTAAGGTGTATTTCAACAATTGCCTCAGAACTAACCCTTTCTATGCTTTATAAATTTCTTATTCATGCCTCCTTTCTCTGTACTTCTCCAAGGATGCAATCCCAATCAGTCCTTCTCATCAAGAGGGTTGGGAAGTAGGTCCTCACATGGGTTGATTTTCAAGAAATCTAACGCATGCAAGGGTTTTTCAAAGGGCAGGTTTAAAGGTGGTGCAAAGAGTGGAACAACATTCACATCTAGAGGATCCAATAAGGTGAAATCATTTGCAGCATCTAGTGCCCCATAGAATGGATGTTATAATTATGAGAAGCAAGGCCACTTTGCTAGGGAGAAGTACCTACCACTTTGGGATCACCAACATTGTCCTCCATGGGTTTTGAGTTGTACATAACATTTGTTTGTGATCAAGTTGGTTCTCAACATGCACTCAAAGTTGCGTTTTGATAAATCCTCATTTTTGCAAAGTAAGTTTAGAAACCTACTATTGGGTTTTGATTGACATAAGTACTTTGGATAATTATGTTTTGGCAAAATTAACAAGGAGATGGGAGTTGTGAGTTCAATACTTGGAAGAACTTAGGATGCAAAATAATCCCAGCTCTTCTGGGCATGGCCTTCTTTGAAGGATCATCCTTCTCATACTCGTCTGGCAAATCATCCCCCGGGGATAGAGCACTGGAAACCTAAGGGAATCAAAGCACTTAGGAAATGGTAACAGGAATCAATGTAAAAATTGATTCATGGGAAGCTCCACTAAGCCTTGTTGTCTTGAACATGCAAGGTTTTGACACTATCTTAGGCATACAATGGTTTCAAGAGCTTGTCTAGATCTCCCATTTCCTTCTCGTTTTTTGTCGTTTCTCTTCTTTTGCTCTTTCTTCGTCCGTCTTCATGGCAGATCAGCAATCTCCTCCTTTGACTCTAGAGCATTGTGGCCTTGCATGGATGAGGTAGGAATTTGGTGGTACTATAGGGTGTAAATGGAAAAAGAACAACTATAGAAGCAAAGGATATGGTGATAGGCACTTGGCATAGTGATCCTTTGGAGTACCTTAGCATTGTTGCTAAAGTACCAAAAAAGGATATTGCTAATGCATTTTGGTGCTTATGTATCACAAAATCCAATGAAAGTATTAAAGAGGAAATAATATGTCCAGAAATTGAGGTAGTATTGGATCAATTCAAGGACATGTTGCCATCAAAACTCCCAAGTGGGCTCCCTCTAAAGCAAGAGGTTGACCATAGGATCGAGTTGCTTCCTAGAACTTGTCCCATGGCAAAGGCTCCATATAGGCTGAATGAAACTGGGTTGATTGAGTTGAAGAATGAGAAGGGTTATATAAGACCAAGTAGATCCCCTAGTCTTATTTGTGAAGAAAAAAGATGGCTCCATAAGGAAGTGCAAAGAAACTATAAAGAATAAGTATCCACTACCACTAGTGGGGGATTTGTTCAACTACCTTGGTAAAGCAAAATATTTCTCAAGAATAGACTTGAGATCTAGCTATCATCAGATTTAGGTAGTCGATGAACAGATTGAGAAGACAATATGTCAAACTTGATACAGATCATTCAAGTTCTTGGTTATGCCTTCAACTTGTGTAACACTCCAGCCATATTCTTAACTCTGATGGACAGGATCTTCAGGGACTATCTCAATAAATTTGTTGTGGTATATATTGATGATATCCTTATATATAGTGAAACAAAGTAACAATATATTGAGCACTTGACGAAGGTGTTTGAGTTACTGCGGAAACATAAACTGTATGCCAAGAAGAGTATGTGTGAATTTGGGCTCCAGAGGTGCAATTCTTGGGGCATATTAATTGAATGTAGACCCACAAAAAGTTGCAACCATTCAAGAATAGGAGAGATTAACAAATGTACATAAGTTAAGGGATTTTGTAACTACTATAGAGAACTTGTGAAATGCTATTCCAAAATAGTGATGCCCCTTACTAGTCAAACAAGAAAGGTGAAGTTCCATTGGGATGTTGCATGTCAGGAGGCATTTCTTAAGTTGAAACGGATAACAACAGCTCCAGTTTTAGCACTAACCCAATTCAATAAACCCTTTGAGATTGATATGGACACATCAGATTATATGATTGGGGCTGTGCTGAAACAGGAGGGTCATCCAGTTGCATTTTACTCTAAGAAGCTGAATGCAACATAAAGGAAATGGCTTGTTCATGAAAATGAACTATATGTGATTGTGCGAGTAGTTAAGGAGTGGAGATTATATCAAGCAAGACACTTTAAGATGTATATCAATATGGTGACCAAACACTTCTTAACACAACCAGGAAGCAGTCTTATTAGGCTGATGCCCCAACAGAGTTTGATATGGAAATCTTGTATAAACCTGGAAAAACAAATGTGGTCCCTGATACTTTGAGTAGGAAGACAAGCTTGCAAGTCACAACCATGACTCAAGTGGCTTGGCTAGAAAGTATCAAAGAGGGCTACAAAAGGGATGCTACAGAAGAAAGGGTCTTCAAGGACAAGGAAATTGACAAGGCTGAAGGCTACAAAGTGAAGGATGACCTCTATTATAAATAGAGATGGGTTTATGTCCCAAAAGGGGAAATCAAGAAACTACTAATATAGGAACACCATAATATTTTGATAGCAGGCCATGGTGGTATTCTCAGAACAATGGGCCTTTTGAAAAGATACTACTACTAGCAGAAAATGCTGGTAGATGAGAGTTTTTAGGGAAACAAAGAGTTATATAAATAATAGAAGGTCCTTGTGTGAATAAATCAATAACTCCTCTATCCTTCTTTCAAAAGTACTATCAAGGGCATTAGTGTTAATTTTTTAAACTTATTTTTATAAAAAGAGATATGTTATCCTTGATCAATACAGGCTTAAGTTTATTTTCTATTGCTTAGATTATTACCATATGTTGTTATCTATATTTATCAATCATTCTCTATGACAATAGTTGTACACATGTGTATGTGCAAGATGAGGTGAACTTAGATATATGTGTGGGTGATCACAAGCTTGAGCTTATAGCTTATAGCTTAATAACTATATTGGTTAATGGGCTTTAAAGTAAGGTTGTTTATTGCCAAATGGTTGATATTATTGAGCTCCTTTCCCTCTTTTTATTTTGTTTCTTATGTTCTTGAGTTTATTGTTTTAGTGTCAATGGAGTTTCTAGATAAAGATTCAGTTATTATATTTTATATTTAGTATCTACAAGATGTAAAGTTGTATTTGCCTTTTCTGGATGATGTTTAAGAGACTCAAAGGGTTGAATTGTGGATTTATAAACTTTGTCAATGTTGTTGTTTTGGTATCAGTATTACCTTGAAGATGACTTTTTTTATTTATGGACTGATCCAATGATTATTTATGGTTGGTATTGCTTTTAGTCTTTATTCCACACTTCCTCTATTCTTAACATAATTCTTTTATCTTAGGTGGGCATAGATCATTGTGTAATTGAGAATTTATATAAGTTTTCTATTTGCCAACAATGCAATGAAATATTATGATTCAATATATGCATAATTTCATATAGTGCTAAGATTGTAATATTCCCCCTCATATAGTGGAAGAATAGTTATAATCAATTGCAATTTTCTATTTAATTAAGTGGCATTTTATTTGATAGGGCATTTTCCATGGTTAATTACTAACAATGAATACATTATTATTGCAAGTACCTAATATATTAGGTGGAAGTTGCTAGTGCATTTATGATTATTATTGGATATTTCTTTCTCAATTAAGTGGTGTTTTAGCATTCTTGTCTGGAGTGAATTCTTTCATATAATAGTTTATTATTTATGGCTAAGGTATTTCATGTTTTGATGTCTCATCTAACACATTACATTTTTGTGAGTGGCTATCATTTATAAATGAATGGTTTGGTAGATTATCTCATTAATATAATAATTACAAAATATATGAACTTAAGGTATTTAAATTAGAATGGTTATTTACTACCTCTTTAGTGTGCATTTGTTATGAGGGTATAGAGTTCCATTGGTGCTTCACTTTATAAATTCTTATATAGTTATAATCCTATATTGCTAAAAATTTATCTTTGCAATTATTATGAACTACTAATATTAGATCCTAAGATTAGTATTTGATGAGCATTCTTTTATTTATTTGCAATTGGGTCATATAAAAGTAAGATAATAATAATGCTATAACTCTTATCATCGTTCATTTGCATAAAGAACTTGGTATTGGTATATTTTCCCCATCTTATTAAAGTATTATCTAAGAGGCTCTTTGCTTAATGAAAGGGACCATATCAAGTGTTTCAGGAAGTTAGGTTATAAGTTTCTTCATGACATTCAATAAGAAAAAATTGCATTACCTATATGCCCACATCAGCTAGAGAATTATACTTTACCTTACATCCTTTCAAGATGAGGAGATGATTGATGTGAGGTTTAGATATATGCCTATAATGTTATGTACTATCTCTTACTATAAACTAAGGTTTTAGGCTAATTATATTCCTGTAACCATTACCCAATTAAATATTTAGTTATATAAATAAATTTATATTAAAAATTTTTAGCACTTACTCCCAATGCTTATATATCTTTTAGAAGTGCTCTTTAGACCAGTTTTTTTTACAATGCATATCATTAATTTCCAAGATACTTTGCAACATGCTATGAATGTTGACCTTAAAGTTTTATAAAAGCTTCAAAGTGATGCAAACATAAAAGTATGAATAGCAACAGTAATTCAACATCTTTATGTGTTCAATAAGAAAAGAGCTAAAGGAATTGTTTGAAGTATTTCAGCAAGTATAGCAGTTTAATACTTGCCTAAAGTTTAGTCATGCAAGAACTATAGAAGATTAATCAAAAGGTAAAATGTTGGATTTATTGGAAGAATTTTCTTTCTTTCTTTATGATTTCTTTTGTTGGAAATAAAAGCTTTACACATATATAATTTATATATTGTTGACTTCTCTCTCAGAGTCAGACCATTTGTTGCTTAAAAGATTCTTCACCTCTTATATTTCTGTCACTGGTTAAATAAATCTCCAAAGACTGGACATTGACTACCAGCATTTCTCTTGATAAAAGAATCGTCAAAAGACCTTAAATTCCTCCACTTTGCAACACGCGATGGACTTATGCCGGTTCTGGGCAAGAAGATCTTCTACCAGATGCTGCGAGGCGGCGCCACCAAGCCGTCGTCCCACGGTTGCGAGCTCCCACCCGATGCGCAATCCATCGCCCAGGTCCTCAAATCCTGCGCCGCCGCGCGTGACATTGCCAAGGGCAGAGACATCTATGCTCACATTCTTCGCTCCCCAGATCACTCCCAGAATCGCTACCTCGCCAATCTCCTCATCGATCTCTACTCCAAGTGCTGGAGCCTGGGCGAAGCGAGGGCGGTGTTTGATCGCATCGAGCAGCCCAATCGATTCTCCTGGAACGTGATCGTCTCCGCGTATGCCCAGAGGGGGCATTTGTTGGAAGCCAAGGCCTTGCTGGATCGATCGCCCCAACCGCCAAGCGTCGTCGCCTCCACCGCGGTGATGGTGGCGTTCGCGCTAAACGGGCATCTCGACGAGGCCAGATCACTGTTCGCCGCGATCGATTCGCGGGACTGCGTGTGCTGGAACGCCATGATCCAGGCGCTCGTCCTCAATGGCGAGAATTCCTGGGCGAAAGAGGCATTCAATCGGATGCCCTGCCGCGATAGCTTCGCGTGGACGACGATCATCGCCATGTACGCACAGGCCGAGGAACCCGATCGATCCAAGGCCATGTTTGATTCGATGGAGAGCCCGGACGTGGTGTCGTGGAACGCGATGCTCGCCGCTTACGCCCAGAATGGATTGATTGCCCAATCAGACGAGCTGCTGCTGCGATTCCCCCATTGGAACCTCGTCACCTGGAGCATCATGATCCAGGCGCTCGCCCAAGCGGGGCAAATGGATCGCGCTGAGAAGTTCTTCCAGACACTTCCCAGGAAAGATCCAATGTGCTCGACGGTCATGATCTCTGGCTATGGTATCTCTGGCGATATCCAAAGAGCCAAGAGAATCTATGATCAAACTTTCGAGCCAAATGTTGTCACCTCAACCGCGATGCTTACAGCACTTGCCGCGAATGGGTATCTAGAACAGGCGGAGCTTCTGTTCGAGTCAATCCTCGACAAAAACGTGGTGACGTGGACGGCTATGGTCGCAGCTTACGCTCTAAATGGGAGGCCGTGTGAAGCCTTTTGTGCGTTTGAATTGGTACCACAGAAGCACGTTGTATCATTGGCATACTGTCCTTGCGGCATATGCCCAAGTTGGGTATATTCAAGAATCGAAAAAGTCTTTTGGAAAGATGCCA